CCTCAAATTTGCATGTTTCAGGCTCCCAGCACTTTACTTAAAATGCTAGTTATCCCTGCTGGCTCTTACCACCAAGGATGAAAAGCAAGGTGGTGAGGAGTCCCAGAGCACAATAGAATAAAGCTCTGAGCATTGACTCAAATTTCATGACATTTGTAGTTTCTGACCAGAGTGGTAGCAGCAGGCTGAAGGTGATCAAATTAACCCTTGATTGGAGGGTTTTTGTTTTTGTTTTTCTCTTGGGGTCTTTCTTTTCAATCTTACATTGTACAGTTAACAGACACCAATCCCTACAACCCTGTAATCATCCTCTGGTCAGATGTTTTCTTTTGTGACAAGAGACCAGGAGAGAGATGGCTATCATATAAACACATGAACTTCCAAGGTGAAGTCCTCCTAAAACCCAGTTGGGCACCAATACATTAGCGTCTGAACTTTGATTCTCTAGAATGGTAGCCTGGTATGACAAGGGTTCAGCAGCATACCTTGCCAACACCGTGCTCTTAGTAGGCTGGTGACTGTTCTGGAGAGTGGTGAAGTAGAAAGGACAATGTTTACTGTTTCACAGTAAACAATAAAATAACAAATCCTCTAAGCAAACAAGATGGACAGATGATGGCTAGGACAAATAACTGGCTAGAATAAACACTGATCATTTGCAAGAGAAGTTTTTTAGAGATGAAAAAAATGCTTCTTCATTAGAGACATTTGAAAATACAGAAAATAGAATAAAAGGGACGCTGAAATCGTTTCTACCATGCCATTGTTAAATATTTGGGTGTACATGCAAATGTCTGCTTCTTTAATAATCTAATTTTTATGGTGTGTCTACATGTGTATAATTCTTGCTTGTTTTTATAAGAATGGAATCAGACACATACTGTCTACACTACTAAACCTCTTGGGGTCTTGGCTTATTGATCTGTGAAATGGAGCTAATAACACCTGTTTCCAGAGCTACTGGAATTAAATGAGATCATAGATGTAAAGGAGACAGACCAGACAGCCCACAATGACAGCTCCAGTTATCAATGATGTTACTGACAGGACTCCATGGTCCTGGAGTACCAGTTTTAAATTCACTCATAATGGAGTATTCTCAACTGTCCAAGTAATGGAAAGGCAGGATCATGCTATTTAGCAAAGGAACTGCATCCATTTTCCCAGCTGTATCATCTGGATAAAGAAACATTTCTGTCTGAATGCAAGAAATAGGACTTGTGGGCTTTCTCTCCCAGTGGTACTCAAGGCTTCCCTTTAACATACTGTCTCACTACATGTAGGAGACTCTGAGACATATTTCTGTGGAGAGGCACTTGTGTCTATGAAGTGGGGCATTGCCTGGGAGGCTGTTGACATCTGTATGGCAGGGATTGCCAGCAGGTGCTCTTAACTGAGAGGGCCAGGATAGCTTAGTCTTTCTTGGGATAGGTATGTTCCCTTTCTCTACATCTCTTTTCTTTCCCCATTTATCTGTCTCCCCACCACTACTTCCCTTCCTGGGCTATACAGTTTGTTCTCTCTCTTTCTCTTCCCCCCAGCAACCTGGTCTTCTTCCTCTTTGGCCTTCTGCCCAGTCCCCCAGCCTTTTATCCAAACAGCAAGGTACATGACTGGAAAAAAAAAAAAAGCCAAGAATTGGTTCAGACACTCAAAATGAACAGCAAGGAAGCTAAAGTTTAGTTTGAGGAGTAGGACACCTGAGCACATCTGTGGGGAGAGAGCAGAGCTGAGGGGAAGAGGTATTCAATGAAACCATGGAGAAGGGAGGCCTTGATGTGTTCCAGAAAACCCTCATGAGAGAACTCCCAGGTTATGTGGTCAGTGGCTTCTCATAGGCTGCTTCTCCTTTGTCAGGTGGGGTAGGATGTTTAGAAAGGGAAGGGGATGGGTATTGATGACAGGCCTTGGGAGGGGGAAGAAAGCAGTTTTGGGAACTCAGGCTGTATGGCTTCTCTCTAGCCCTGAGTCTGGAACATGATGGAACAGCAAGCTGAGGGCCAGTACCACCAACATTCTATGAGTCCTGCTGATATTGGCCTCTAGACTTTCTCTTGCAGTATCTGCCTACTGGGTTGCATCCAGGGGACCCAGAACCCAACAGCTCTCCTCTGGTGAGTCTTAGATACTTAGTGTGCCTGTCTAATTATCTGAATCTTTTTTGATTGAGCCTGACTCTTATCGTAGCCTTTGTAGCAGCCAAGATGTGGCATCAGAAAATATCTACTGCATCGAACCCACAAAGGTACAGAACAATCAAGAAGGCAAGAAAACCCTAAGGACTTAGTGAGGAGTTATGAGAAGGAGAAACAAAGGGGGTGAGGGTAACAATGTGACAAAGACACAAAAGTAGGGCCAATGAAGGAAGTAATAATCAGAGGGAAGAACTTGAAGCTAGGGATGTGGATAAGAGAGAAGTTTCAGATGAGTTGGTGTCACTCTGCTAGGTGGTTGAGAGTGATCAGCAGTCTGAAAGTGCTTTTATATACATTATTGTTTTGAAACAGTTTAAGGAATACATTTTAGCATTTTTAGCTCTCCACAGACAAAGGCAGAGATTCAGACAGGAAAGGTCACTATCTCTAAGCTACACAGCCAGGCATTAATGGAGATGAGACAAGAACTGAATGTTGTCCTCTCAGCCCAGTCTTGTTTGTGCTACTTTGTGGCCTCTCTGAGGGAGAGGCTACCTATGTATAAGATGGCAAGTACCATCAATGGGAGCTCAATGGGAGGAGACATCCCCAGCATGGCTTCTAAAGCTGAGGATGGCAGGGAAAGTCATGCTACACCAGATCATGGCAGTGGGCACAGGATTCTAAGATGCTCACTTTGACCTGGGAGCAGAAGCAGCAGCTGCCACTAGAAAGAATTTGGCACTCCATGGAGTCTCTAGTGGATAGGACACATTGGAGAACTTGGGGGAAGAGGGTACTGGAAGCTGAGGAAGGAAGTGACCCTAAATATTTAGTGGCAAATAAGGTGGACTGATAATGAGGGCTTTATATCCTCATCCTTGCCTATCTTCAGAAACTATCAAATCTATCTACTCCAGAAAGGACAAAAAATAAAATCTACACCAATAGTACCTGGAAGACATCATTAATGGATAATAATTTCTAAAATAAACCAAGGTATAAAGAGACATAGTAAACCAAATGTGGAGTCCAGACACCTAATGGATCATTATGAGATTGAAAATGAGCTGGGGTTACATACTGCCCTTTAATCTCATCAGAGGTGGGAGGAAGACGAGGATAAAATGACTCAGCTTAGCTGGGTACCAGTGGCTCATGCCTATAATTCTAGCTGCACAGGGTGCTAAGATCCAGAGGAACGCAGTATGAAATAGCCAAAGCCAAAAAATCCTAAGACTTCATCTTAAAATAACGAGCAAAAAGCTGGATGGGAGGCATGGCTCAAGTGGTAGAACACCAGCTGAGCATGTAAGATGAGGAAGTGTGAGGCTCTGAGTTCAAACCCTGGTTTTGGCAAAAAATAAAATAAAATCTAGCTTGATAAAAAGGATATATAATAAAAAGAGAAACAGGTCAGTTCATTTGGCTCTGTGCTCAAGAGCTGGTTGCTAGTTTTTATTTGTTGGTCCTGAGTGACATCCTTGTTATTCACATGGCTTTTCAGGAACAGGATAAGCCCAACATATTCAACCCAGGAGTAACCATGGAATGCCTTTAGTTTCCCACGACTGTGTGGCTACCTGGGTGAGATTTTTTTTTAGTAAGATGACTGTAAAACAGCAAATCTGACCTAGACTCCGTTTTAAACCAATGGTGAATGTCTTGAATCATGTGTTCTTAAATGAGGACTGCAAGCTCTCAGATGGGTTGTTTTCTCCTGAAACACTGAATTTCTGGCAGGCAGGGAATGCCTTTACACACAGACACAGACACACACAGACACACAGACACACAGACACACACACACACACACACACACACACACACACACACACAGACACACACACCATGGCTCTCTTATCAGCATCTGCTGACAAAATTTTAATCACATTATACTGAAGAAAAAAGTTTTAAAGAGGAAAACAGATTCAAATCAACCACCTAGAGCCCTGTTTTCCAGCAAGCTACTGAAGAGAGACAGTGAGTTTATTCTCACCATAGTTTAGTGGAAACTTGAACCAGGTACTTCCCACTGGCAAGCTCTTCTACCTGGAGTGCTTAGTCTATTACCTCATTTCATCACTATGCCATTATGTGTTGAACAACTTCTTCCTACAGATGAGGAAATAAAGTCTTGGGCCAAATGACTTAGTAAAGTCAACTCCAAATTTCCCTTCCTTTTTCTCCACTTAAATTCATATACTGAACAGAAAAGTGGCTTATGTTTGTAATCCTAGCTACCAAGGATTCTAAGATCTGAGGATCAAGGTTCAAAGTCAACCCTGGCAGGAAAAGTCCTTGACCCTTATCTCCAACTAACCACTCAAAAGCAAGAAGTAGAGCTGTGGCTCAAGTGGTAGAGCACTAGCTTTGAGCACAATAGCTCAGAGAAGGTAATCAGGCCCTGAGTTTAAGCCCCAAGGCCAGCACAAAGAAAAAAATAGATATAAAAAATTTAAAAAAAAAATTCAGAGGGTTTCAAAGTCTGGCTTTGGCTGCCAAACCACAGCTAAGGTGAGTATGGCAGGAAGTGCCAGGACTAAACTGGAAGATCTTAGGGATCTGCATTGGTCCAGGCTCCAATTTGTATTGAGAAAAAAAAAAAAAAAAAGGCACACAACCTCTTGATGTCTTGCTTTCTTCTGAGAAATAGAAAAAGTGTTACCTTTTAAACATGAACTTAGAATGGAATGACCTGTATGATGACAGCTGTTGGGAAACAGAAGGGCTATGTCTTCAGGTACCCCAAAACATGAGTATATTTAACTGGAATAACCCAGGGCAATATCAAGTTACAGCTGTAACATTTCCTGGTACATTACTGGAGGAGAAAAAGTAAGGAGAAGGTGGGTAGCTTCTTACCAGCAGTAGTCCAGCAGGTGTGGAGGCAGCACGGGGATGTACACATGCTGCCAGTACATGGGGTAGAGCATCGCGGCTGAGCCATGAATGCAGGCAGTCAACTGCAACAGAGCAAAGCAGAGATTAAGAGCTAAGAACTGAAAGGGAACAAGTATTACCACTAGGTTTCAGTGTCAAATAACTACTCATCCACTTATTTAAGATTATGAACTGAGAAGTCTAGAGGAGTCATTCTAAGTTAACTTACTCTAATGCACATTTGTAAGAGCTTTCTCTTCAAAATATCTACTTTTTTCCTCTCTGATTATAAAGTGAATGCAAGACAGGGGTATAAACTCTGTTAGAGTACTTGCCTTGCATGCACAAGACCCTGAGTTCATTCCATTGTAAAGGGTAAAAGTAAAAAGAAAAGTAAAAGCCAGGAGAGTAAGAGTGAGCAGAAGGACCTGAAAACCGGTTGTCCTTAGTTAACTTTAAAAATGACAAAGTCATTGGAACAATAAACATCCTGATGAATTTTATTTAACCAGGAAAGGGAACAAAAGCAGGGGTTTACAACTGAACTGGAAGGTCAGGGGAGAAAGGCCCAAACCCTGGAGGTACTCCCATGTCTTAATGTACTAGGTGAGGCTAGCCTTACCCAAACTCTGCCTGCTCTTCTGAGCTTCCTCCACTTCCTTCTCTTGGTCTTTGGCCGGAGCATCTCCACCTTGGGGTTTCCCTTGGTTGTAGAGATTTTGCTCCTTAGCTGAGCTACAAGGCAGAAATTGCTAGGAGCAATTTTGACTTTTCCTGCTGCTTTTGGTAACCTGTCACCTAGGACCATATTTCCCCCCTGCCCCCCACCCCCTGCCCCGGGACCATATTTTATGGATTATTTTTTTATTTTTTTATTTTTTGGCCAGTTGTGAGGCCTGAACTCTGGGCCTGGGCACTGTCCCTTAGCTCTTCAGCTCAAGGCTAAAGCTCTACCACTTGAGCCACAGCGCCACTTCTGGCTTTTTCTGCTTATGTGGTGCAGGGGAATTGAACCCAGGGCCTCATGCATATAAGGCGAGCACTCTACCACTGAGACCTGATTTGAAATTTTTTAATACTAAAATATTATTCCTGGATCACTGTTGGTATTTAATAAATGTTAATAAATATATGCATAGAACAAAAAATAAGTATTAGTATTTTCAAACTGATTTATAAGCAATCAATATTAAAAAAAGAAATGTACTCATTACCTGACTTATGCAACTGTAACCCCTCTGTACATCACCTTTACAGTAAAATTTAATTTTTTTTAAAAAGCAAGCAATAGTGGTTCCTAAAGGATACTAACCCTTTATGATCTTTTAAAAAACAATTTATACTTTACTTACTTTTAATTTCTGAGTGTTTAGATAATTATGTAGACAAATCTTTTCCTTAGTGATGATTTCCTCTACTTTTATCTTAAGAAGGTCCTCCAAATTTTCTCCTACCATTTAACTCTTTAATCCATCTGGAATTAATTTAGGTTTAAAAACTGAGGTGAGAATTTATTTTTTCAGTTAATCAATTGCTCTGGCATTGGTTACGGCCTAATCCTTTCTCTTCTATGTTTTTACACGTGCCTATTTTGTATTCCTATTTTTGTTCCTTAAGAGTTAGCTACATCATAAAATCAGCATTTGATACAATTAAAATTTTAGGAAAGAAAATAAAAAGGAATACAATTCCTATAAAATTCAATATTGCCAAAAGAAAAGGAAAAAAGGCAACCTTTGGAGATGCAGTTATGAAGTAAAAAAAGCCAACAACACATGTTTCTTTCTGTCTTTTTTCTTTATGTTTCTTTGGTTTCTGGGAAGCCTGTTCCCTAGAGAACTTTGCTTCTTTTGGAAGCTGTTAACTGGCCTTTGCTGACAGAAGGACATTTACGTGCTGAAAGAGTGACGTGCCAAGGCCCAGTTAAAAGAATCCCAAAGGTTAGTATAACATGACCAGCTTTAAATTGGATATTCTGCTGATGTTTCACAGTTGTGAGAGCTGTGTATTGAAGCCAGGGCACTACTTCCCCCATTCTCTTTTCCCTCCAGATCCTGTTCTTTAAATCAAGTACATGCCATGAACGGGAGATGATCTACTGAGCATTGGAGAGTTGCTTCCAATGACGCTGCCAAAGCCCCAATCCGTCCTTCCCAATCTATTTTTAGATTCCTCAATAAAGGAGGTTGTCCTATGTATACAAATGACAAATCCCTTCAGAGTTTCTTACAGATGGAAAACACTTGAGTGAGTGGAGAACAAACCAACCATAATCTAATGCCATCCTCAAGTCAGGACAGAAGATTACACTGGCCTTCAGCCTTGACTCTTGCTGCTTATCCTTTACCTAGTTGCCAGAGTACTCTTCTGAAAGTGCAGGTCTAGTCATAGTACCTTCTTCTCAGAAGTCTGGGGGCATGGTTAGAACAGATGTCTCCACCAGCTCAAAAATCTACCTTAAAGCAGGATCTAAAACCACGTCTCAACAGCCCTGGCTGTTTTCCCTTAGAATATATAATGGGGAACATAGGAATAGTTATGGACTCCTTCCCTCCCCCTTCTTTCACTCATCTCTCACACTGGTCTCAATTTGTCCTGCTAGCACTCCTTCCTCAGGCCTCTGTACAAGTACTCCACTCCCCTTATCCCTGACGCCTTTACTTTGGCTCACTTGGGCACTTCCCCATTACTAACAGGACCACAATGCTTGTCCCCAGATATAAAGTACCCAGAGACCTTTCTCTCTTCATCTTATTCTCAGTGGTACTGCATACATAAAAGTGTTAGTTAACACAGTGTGTCTTGAATAAATAAAAAATGATTCCTACTTAGAATATATTCACAACATAAAGATAGCTGCTTAGTGCTTAGATATCAAGAGTAACTGACCCAACATTTTCATGAGGCGCACAGAGTGGGGCATGTAACACAAATTCCAAAACAATAACAAGTTTAGACATAAGATATGTGACCATAGGAAAGATCAAGTTATTTATTCATTTATCCATTAGTACAATGATATGCCTATTCTGTAACACATCAAATAAATGAAAGCACTTAAAACATCATTATATAAATTCATTTGTAATTCTTAGAAAAAGTCATCTCTTAAAATGATTCTGTTTGAGTTGGAAATTGATTACTATTTTCTTTTTTTTTTTTGGGTCCGGTTGTGGGGCCTGAACTCTGGGCCTGGGCGCTGTCCCTCAGCTCTTCAGCTCAAGGCTAGTGCTCTACCACTTGAGCCACAGCGCCACTTCCGGCTTTTTTCTTTTTGCTTGTGTGGTGCTGGGGAATCGAACCCAGGGCCTCATGCATGCAAAGCAAGTGCTCTACCACTGAGCCACCTTCCCAGCCCCTTGATGACTATTTTCTTTATAGTGTCTTTCCATGTCTTCTTAACCTCAAAATAAGTCTCCTAAGTAAAAGCCAAGATCTTAAAATAATTTACTTTTATTTTTTTATTTTTTGGGTCTGGTTGTGGGGCCTGAACTCTGGGCCTGGGTGCTGTCCCTCAGCTCTTCAGCTCAAGGCTAGCGCTCTACCACTTGAGCCACAGTGCCACTTCCGGCTTTTTTCTTTATGTGGTGCTGAGGAATCGAATCCAGGGCCTCAGGCATGCAAGGCAAGCACTCTACCACTGAGCCACCTTCCCAGCCCCATAACTTACTTTTATAAAAAAAAAAAAAAAAAAATCAAGTCCAGGCACTGGTACCTAACACCTGCAATCCTAGCTATTCAAGAGGCTGAGATCTGAGGAGCACAGTTTGAAGCCAGACAGGGCATCAAAGTCCATGAGACTCTTTTCTCCAATTAACTAACAAAATCCAGAAGTGGTGCTATGGTTCAAGTGGAAGCTATGGCTCAAGTGGAAGAGTGCTAGCTTTGAGCACAAAAGCTCAGGGACAACACCCAGGTCCTGGGTTCAAGCCCCAAGACAGGCACATACACATACACAAAAAATCAGGTTTTTAAAATGCCTGATTATTTCATTAGAGGATTTTCTAAGGGCTAAATCTGCAATTGAGGTAAAATGCATTCATCCATTTAAGAAAACAAACAAGAGAGTCGTTTGACTCTTACCCAAAATACTAAGTGGCACATATTATATATATCGTTCCTCAAGAAAAGTGGCTAAGCTGATTACAAGTAAAGTCTTACTACATGGCTATACTTAACTAGGAGTAATGTGTCCTGTAAAGTATCACTCACCATTTACTTTAAAAATAACTTTAAGGCCCATTTCTAAATGGCTATGTTGATTCCTTACAGAAGGTACATTTTTAAAGTAATGAAAGAATACAATTTGGAGCACAGTCAACAAAGGAGTATTGTGAATATTTAATTAAAGTACAAGTTGAGGAAAATGATCCTATCAAAATCTCACTCAGTGGGAAAATATAAAGATAGTATGTGTAAAATTTGCCCAAAGTCATTAGTCACAATGAATATTCATCAGAAGCCAATTATCAATCCCATTTAATGACACCCCAAAAGATTTTGCCTGAAGCAGCTGAATAGTCTAAGACTCCAGACAAAACTAGACGCCAAAACAGCCAGTCTAGCCAGGATACAGACTGTAAAGAAAACCGCTGGTGAATTTTGGCCACACCTTAGCAAATTCTGTCCTTGATTAAAAGTGTACAAGATTAGTCATATCATGGAGCTTTATATATGACTCCATTAATTTTCTCCAAGGCTTAAAGAAGACAATGGGGGCTGGACATGAATGGTGAGTGATCAGTGATATAGGTGGAAAAATTACAAGGTCTTAGTATATCTCAGAGATAATGCTCATATTGTCAAAATCTTAAAATTCTAATGCCCCATCTGATACCTAAAGGCAGATTTGCAAGTTAATGTGGAAGTAAAAATAAGAATTCTTCCTTTAAAAAAGTCCCCACAGTGTATGTGCCAAGCACTGTGTTAGAGGTTAAGGCTCTTGCAGAGTATTGTTTTAAAGGAATATGTATGTGGGAAGATATGCACACTCTCACATTTCACAGATTAAAAAAAAAAAAGTCTCAGAGGGAAAATAACTTGCCCAAGGCCACATTGCTAGTGACAGAATTGGGACTCACAT